ACTTAAAGGCGACAGGCTGTTTCATGCTAAACGCAATCGTCAGGCTTGTCGATTGAGTCTAGCATGAAACATACTGTCGCCTTTGAGCGTTGATTTCAATGTTCACATTTATATTTACACATGCTCTGTCTCTGATATTGAGCACTTTATCCCATAGATATAGCACACCTTAAGAGTATATTTCTTCATATATATATATATATATATATATATATATATATATATATATATAGTGAGCCTGAAATATCTCCCACATAATAGTAACAAAATGGCAATGGTATATTCATCTAGCTATGTTTTACCACTATGTGAGAAGTATTTCTGAGAAGGTATGTGGGAGGTATTTCTGCCTGATCCTGTATTATACCTCAATAGATTTTCATGGGTAAGCAGAAGGAATGTCGTCTGTCTTTGAAGTTACATATGTTTCATTTCTTTGTTGTTTTGTTTTTGCACCTTCACCATATTTTATTCAAAAGGAGACCCCAATAGTACTAGAAATAGCGATAACATGAGAATTTCCTGAAAAAATCTTCGAAGAAAAAAATATTTATTTCAAACGACAGAAATTGATTGGTTAATGAATGTCGAATATTCCCTGTATGGGCCAGACCCAAAGAATTGTGAGTTGAATACCAGGCCAGAGCAGTGGTGAAAGAAAAACTTGGAGAGTTGAATTAAAGAGAACTAACTGAGACATCCAGAAGAGGCATGGCACGGGGAACTAGAAAAATATACCCCGGTGGACGAAATAAAGGGTTTGGTTCGAAATTTCAATCACCCGAAGAAGGCCGGAGCTACAATAGCCGAGACTTTGTGAATATGGCAATGAAGATAAGGATAACAATCTGAATAATGTAAATAATGTAACTAATTATAATACCTCATCTCAGAGATATAGCCGGAAATAGTTAATTTCATCATTACCGATATTCTGGGCCATATAACAAGCATGCTGTGTTTTGAAAGTGCATAGCTAAAATCTGAGAATAGATTTAAGTCTATTTTGTGGTAACATCTGGACGTCTAAAAATGTTCGGCTTTCAGAATTTACCAGTACGAAACAAAAAGAAAACGATAAAGTACTGTATTATATTTTAGTTAATCATTGAAAACGTATTTGAATTTGTATTATACAGGCTGTCTGCCAAGAACTGACATCATTTTCTAGTCTAATAACACAACCAATTCTCGCACAAATGATCTCAAATTTTAAAAGGGGGAAAAACTAAATTCTCTCTCCTGACTTGTCTCAATGAGAATCTTCCAGAAAGATGGATAACGACAATGTTTTGTCAAAATGGCCACCACGTTTACCTGACATAACACCCTGTTTTTACTATGAAGCTATGTGAAAGGACATGTCTGTATCGCCTTCTTCCTACAAGTCGATAATTACTGAGGCGCTGGAGAATGTTACGCAAGACATACTACAGCGTGTTTGGCAGGAGCTAGACTAAAGACTCGACGTGTGTTGTGGCACAGGTAGTGCGAATTTTGAGCATTTGCGAAGTTTTGTGAAATCGGTTATAAAATCTCCATCACTTTGAATATCTTGTTCGTATTTTGATAAATAAATATTTTATTGTTCAACATGATGTGACACCATGCATACCTGACGAGCTGAAAAGAAATATTCATAGATATATGATTTGTTTTTTACGGTTTATCAACCATTTAATAATTATTTAGGGCCGAAAAATATTTTGGGTTTTAAGAATAATTCTTTCTTTACATTCAAGCGATCTGGAAGAAGGAAAGAGAAAACGAAGAAGAAAGAAAGAAAAATAATACGAAAACAGGTCATAGGCGAGCACACACTCGCACGGCTGACAGATAACAGGTGTCGAAAAATATTCAGCTCAAGCATCTGACCGAGATCCGCGGAAAATGGAAGTTGTTATCACTTGGTTGTCATCTAAGGGAAAAGAAAGAAAAGAAGAAACGAAGTTTAGGGACAATGAAAATATTGATAAGTAACAAGTGGAAAGTGTGTCATTGGAATGATAGTAAGGGTCTAAGTGGGTGGGGAAGTGTATCTAAGGATATGAAGGCAAACCATTAATACGAAAACCCAGACAGTCTCCAGAATTGGAAAAAGCCACACAAGATGATGTCGCTGAAAAATTTTTTTTTTGAGATAATAAAGATTTTTATTATCGGACCTTCGGGCGGAGGAAAATGAAATATTTTTATTTCGTTCAAAACGCCAACGGGTCTGAGAAATCCCTTTCTTAGGTCATATCCAATTAGCGATAAACTGCTTGACAAATACCACGTGTTAAAAAGCCGAAGGTGTCATCTCAGTCGCTCATGATAAGGCCGATTTAAATTAATATTTTTGTTTTTTAAGCAAGGTGTTTCTTTCCCCAAAACAAAGCCACGGATTGTCCACGCCCGACTAAAGACGTCATTGGCTAAATAAGATCACATGACACACGAAGGAGGAGGAAAGATACCCGACCAGGACCTCATTGGCCGAGAACGGTCACGTGACGCACGAGGAGAATCGGTCGACGCCCCTGTCAGAAGTGTAAGTGTAAGGAGCCGATACGAAGAAGCGGGGAAGCGGGTATACGCCCCTCAGAGGCACAGTAAGGAAGTGGGAGTGAGAGTGAGTTACCGAAAATGGAAAATCCCTAACCAGAAATAAGAAGGGTGGATACGTATTTAGAATTATCGAAGAAACCCCTGGCGCCGACAGACCCACCCCAGTTTTGACTGCGTCAATAAAAGCGAAACCCCAACCGACAGAAATCAGTTTGAGTTGAGCCGCGGACGGCGAAAGAGTTCAGCCGTGGACGACAAGCAGAGATGAGCGCCCAGTGTTGAAACCGCGTCAAGATAGCTGACCAAGATTCACGCACACTTCTGGACTCTTCTTCAACCAAGAACAAGTAGTTTGAAGAGCGACTTAGAATCAGACCACAGAAATAAGTTTTTTTCGACTTTCGTCCAAAGACACACCGAAACACAAATTTCTTAGAGAGCAGCCAACTTGAAGCCTTAAAGTTGCCTAGTAAAAGCGTCGTGCCACAATCCACATAGTCCTATGTACCGAGCAATTAGACATAAAAAGTTTGTTACCTTTTTCTTGATACGTTGGACCTTGTGAGTTTTTATTTTATTTTTCTGTTTGATCTCGTCTGTCTAAGATCAATTCACAACGTGGGTAGGCAGACTGGAGATCAGTGCAGTTACCCTGGTAACCAGGCGTTGGAAGCGGGTTGGGAACGGCGAGGCTGGTATCAATCTAACCAAAGGCTGAGAACGTCACGTTTGGAGCAGCGAGGAGCGAACAGCTGACGCTGCGGCAAAGACGTCACAGTTGGTGCTGTCCGTGACCAGGATATCAGAGCCTGGGGAGCACGTGACGTCACAATTGGCGCCGCGACCGGGATCGAACGACACAGTCGACGCTGCCACCGGGGGGAAGACGTCACATGAAACCTATTTGATTTTTTGTTTGTTTTGGTCATGTACACGGTGGTCCGAAAGTCTTGCTACCCCTAGAGAATATAATTTTCTATTTTTGATGGCTGACACGAGGTCCTACAATTTGGAAGAGAGATATGAGTGACAAGACTTTTGAACCACCCTGTAGTTGCTTAGATATTTACATTTTAAATGTCAATTTTTGGTTGACACCCTGTACTTTTGTTCATCTTTGAAAATATATTTGAATTTATGAAATAATTTGTCTTACATAAAAGAACAGTTCTTAGAATGTCGAAATCCAGTTTTTCTCTCTGGTGGTGTGAGTTTTGTGCTTTTTTCAGAAGCAGTGGTGTTTTGCCAGCGAACTGATACTCTGTGGCTTGTTGCGATCCGAATCTCGATATAACTAAATCGTCTGAAAAATTCTTATGTTTGAAAGGTCGAAAAAGATCGGACGCAGTTCTATTTCCTATTCGTCCTTTCTCCGGTGAGTACCAGGTCAGTGGCATTTTCAGGTTTTTGCCGTATCCTAATTTCAAAAGCTAAAGGTCTTATCGTAAATATTATTTGGTCACTAAACTTATAGCAGTTTCGTACGCCGGATAAAAATGTAGAGTTGAACTTTTCAATTAACACAGAACTGGAGAGAACGGGAAAACTAAGAGACACGTGTAACTGATCAAAAATTTTGAACTAGCAAACGTAGATTCAAAATTCCTTTCCGGTCAAACAGGTCGAAGTTTGCATTATTTACATTATTCGGACTGTTATCCTTATCTTCATTGCTATATTCACAACGTTTCGGTCGTTGTACGCTCCGGTCTTTTTCAGGTGACTGGAATTTCGAACCGAACCCTTCATTTCGTTCACCATGATAGATTGTTCTAGTTCCATGTGTCAATTCTAGTTCGAAGTTCCAATCATCTGAAGAAGGTTGTGAATATGGCAATGAAGATGAGCATAACAGTCCGAATAATGTAAATAATGCAAGGAATCATAATATCTCATCTCAGAGATATAGACAGAGGTTGAAGCTGTGGTAATCTCAGTTGCTTTCAAGCAGGAAATATTTAATTTGAATGTCTTAATCTTAATCTTTTTTTTTGGTATTTCCCCGTGTTTCAACTCCTAGTTTTACTTGGGAAATCCTAGCTTCACCCTATCAAAGGTGCACCTAGTTATTTAGTACCATGGACTAATACTAGTAGTGATAGCATCAAGATACCAGAAGAAATATTTCGCCTCTTCGCATTTGTGCCTGTGGGTGTTTTCTCCCTCTTTTAGTCCACACATTGTCAACGCCACTCTTTGTCTACGCATCGGGACTCGCAACGTTCTTTATCTTTAATGTCCTCTTGACGATGACAAACTTTTTTTTTATGGCACTCGAGCACACGTACAGGTGACATTCTTCGTCAAAGTTCAAATTGCATCTGACAAGATTCGACATTCTTTGTTCAATTTTACGAAAAATTGAAGATTAATTTCCCAGCGACCACTTGCAGTCATATTTTAATATCACTGTAGTGTTTTTACATACACTCTTATTATTACTAACTATTATGCCCGTTTCGAAGGTGGTGGCTTCGCTCTCACTCCAGAAAATCTCGCCCGCCTCAGTGAGTCACCGTTTTTGTTGTTTCGCGGTAAGCAATAACTGAGAAGTAGTAAATAAAAGCAAAACAAGTGAGCAGAAGAAAAATAATCTACATCCGAATATTAAAGTGTCCAGTTCAGAATTCCTTGAAGGATACTCGGATTGACAATCACCTGATTAAAGCCAGAGAGTCCAACGACCGAAACGTGATGATGCTGACAACAAACACTGTGAGAATTGTCAGCGTGTAAAAAATGCTTGCTAAATTATCCCAGATATTCAAAGAGGATTCTTTTTTTTCTATTGTAAATTCTTACTCACACTCCACTGAAATGACGTTTACCCACTCAAACACTGGTGATGAACTGCAAAGGCTAAATAAGATGTTTTAAAATAAATGTTTAACAATTCGGTCTAAAACAGCTTTACGGCTACAGTAAAGCTATTTTAGATCGAATTATAAAGCATCTGTTACGTATTCCAGAGTCAAAAGCGATTCGAATTTAAAAATCGCCAACAATTCTTTATTTCCAATCAACTGGTTACTCTTTTGCGTAGACAGATTATGTTATAAAATAAAGATATAAAAAATGGCTGAGATTTTGAACTGTTTCATTGTTGTGATTTAAGCAGATTGTCTTTAAATCACACAGACTAGATGAGTAAAAAACAGGCCTAAAAACATTGCTACAACATTAAATGTAGTTATTCCTTAACGCAAGACGCCAGTTTCATGCCTGAGGCAATCATCAAGGTTTCGTTTGTTTTGTTTTACGGCATATCAACCTCAATGGGTTATTTAATATTTTAACAAGATTTTTTATTGATGGTAATATTTTTTTTCAAAATGTATTGCTGGTAATTTTTTTTCATAAAAGTATTGCTAGTATTATTTTTCAAAACTGTATTGCTGGTAATATATATATATATATATATATATATATATATATATATATATATATATATTTTATTGGTGGTAATATATTTTTAAAAAGAGTAATGCTGGCACAAATTTTCCCAAAAAGTATCGTTGATATTAAAACCTATTTTTATATTTTCATAGTGTTCTGACCCTTTTTTGGGTAGGGGTTAACTAATTGCTCATATCTGGGAGCCTGACAGGTGCTACCACCTCAGGTCAGGGTGGACCTGGAAACACCAGCTATTAAGATCTGGTTCTACGCACCTCAAAGCCTTCTGATCAAAACCTTGCTGGCGGATGTAGTTTCATCAAGCACCTCTGCGGTAAGGATTAAATGTAAATGGGAATACAGCCGTTTTCTTATGAAATAACATTAGGCGTTCATTGATAGACAAACCAGAACTACTGTCTATTTCAAGTTTCAAATCCAGTAGCTGTTATCGCTCTTTCTGGTACTGAGGTGAGTTTTCCTCCAAAGCTTTTATTTAAAAAATCAACATCTTGATTATGCCGTTTCTAAGCTTAGAGTTAAATGTGATATACATTTTACTTGTTTCAGTTGTGGCCTCTGTTATCTAGTTCAGTTCTTTGTGATTCTGTAGCGCTAGTTTATAAGGTTCGTAAAAGTGTGGTCTTCGCCAACACCTATAGTCTTCACTCGATAAAAGCCAAATTTAACCATAGCTCTGAGAAAGCTCTTGTATACAACTAGCAGTTACGCTTTTTGAATTTAACGCGTTCACACATGTATATATGTGGGTGGGGAGTAAAGATATATAAATTTTTATATATCAAGCATAATTTCGGGGAAAATTTTTTGTGTAAAGCGTTTCGGAAGAAGTTTATATTTACGTTGAGGCGATTACACATGGGAATTTTAAATTTAAAGATGATTTTTTTATGTGTTTTCGGTATTCTAGCCTATTTCATTCAGATGTTTTTGTTTCGATTACAATTATTCAATATCGCACATTGTGATAATAGAAGATCTACCACAAATGGTGAAAGCAACACGTTAAATATATTAATTACTCAGATTAAAGAAACTGAGCATTTTGATCTAAAAAAAAAATACTACTCTAATTAAATATGAAAATATTTAGAAAATGCTTTAATCGCAAGATCATCGACAGTAAATTTGCGTCCAGGTTATTACATTTGACTCTGCTTAGCTTATCTTCTATGATTACTGTGTGGGATATTGAATATCACTTCAATATAAACAAACTTAGTCCGATGAAATCTTAAATGACGAAACGTGTCACACGAAATTTTTGTTTTCATATATATATATATATATATATATATATATATATATATATATACATTATGAAATGGACAAAGTCCGACAATTATTTTATGAAATTTTTATGTTTATACATTCTTTTTATAGATACATAAAAATGTCTTAAAATAATTGTCGGACTTTGTCCATTTCATGACGTGTGACGTCATTTGCTTACATTTGCATACGCTTTGAGCTGATTTGAATATACTTGAGAGATTCATGGAAGATTGAAGTTTAAATGCAGTAAATTCGACCTTCCTAATCGAACGCTCCTCTTTGGCCAAATTGGTTAACGGCACGTCAGGCTATATGACGGTTCCGTATAGGATACAGTTTCGATTCCTGTCGAATCTATGAAAATTTCTCGGACATTCAGGCCGGTAAATGTTGCATAATGCTGTTTATTATAAACAGAGCATTTACTTAAATATTTCTATCTATAAAAAGAAAATATACACATAAAAATGTCTCTCTCTCTCTATATATATATAAAAGATTAATTTGAAGAAAAAGTTTTTGGCCAGACTTCAGGCTAGTAAAATATAACAATGCTGTAAATAATTGATGAATATTAATACTTCTATTTTTCTTGTGATTAAATATTTGTATCTATAAAAAGATTGTATTAACATAAAAATGTCTTAAAATAAATAATATATATATAATATGAAATGGATTAAATCTGACGAATATTTTAATATATTTTCTGTTTATACGTTTTTTATGGATACACTTATTTGAGTAAATCTTCTATTTTTTAATTAAACAGTATTAATTACATTTACCGACGTAAATGTTCGAAAAATTTTGGATATTTGTGCCGACCATTCTAGATTTTGGAAAGTTCGTTGAAAGAAGAATTATTCGCAATACTTTTTATGCCCATATTTTATAATATAAATCAATGTTTAAAAAGTGGTATATTAGGATTTACTGATGAGGAATATGTCATTTTCAGATTATCTATGTAATTAGAACACTTTGCAATAACAGTTCATCTTGAGAGATTTTATACTGCAAACGTATAGTTGTTTATATTTTAAATTATATACATTATAATGCAAATGCATCATATTTTGGCAGGAATTGTTCTTGAAGACAGGTCTTATTAAAAAGCGGCATTTCATGCATAAATTTGTAAGTCGTTTTTTCTAATATGCAAATGACTTTCGCAAATGTGGCTGTGAAAAAATAACCGAAATTTGTATTAGTTCCAAGTTTTCTACTCAGACATCTTCATATTAGAAAAAGAATGAGTAATAAATTTAATAGGAATATTTTTTTTTTAGTATTCTGCAGTCAAAATATACTGAATCTAGATTACATGATTCCACAATTCTTATTGATTTCGAATACAATGATTTGAAGTTTTGTTGAAAACGTTCATCACTAAAACCATTATTTAAGGGAAATGTATACAAAATATTTAGATTTCGACATTAAATAACCCATAGAGGTGTTGATATGCCGTTAAAAAAAACAATGAATTTAAAATCCATAGAAATATTTGTATATAGCAATACAACCCATTTTCGACCGGATCTTTCATTACTGGGAATTTTTGCCGTTCAGTTAGAGCGGTTTAAGTTTAAAGTTAGCCTACGCGAAAATCAATATTACTAACAACATTTGGGTGCAACTGATGCACATCCCCAAATGAGGGGGGGTAACAATTTAAAGGGGGTGGCCCGGAAAAGGGAAGTGTATAAAAATAAATAATATTATTGTAATAATATAACTATTTTTTTATTAAAGATTTTTATGAAAGATATATATCCAAGAAGAGATAGTAAATAGTAAAACATTGCTGAGAGTTATAATGGACAGGAAGTAGTGGAGAGCCATTGTCTCCAAAAATTTGGACTCAAAACCGGCACTGAATAATTATCTATCAAACCAAAAAAAATTCATGAAAACTGTGGAAAATGCATAAACATCCGATCTCACAGACACACATACATACATGCACACACATACATACATGCACACACATACATACACACACATCTTTGAGAATTATCGGTATAGATTTAAAGGAAAAACATAGCATTAATTATATTCTTTGATTTTTCTGATTTTAATCTCATTCTTAGAACAAGTCTGTAACAGAATTTCATGTGAGGAGATAAAATTCAATCCAGCTGTTGCACGCCTCAAGAACACGTCCTCTGCACAACTTAACGACTCGGAGACAAAATCACCGACTGTAACCAGGTTACCCTTTTTATAGAACCACATATGCCTAGCATCACACGAACCTCGTTCAGGATTTACACATACCATTTCCCAAGGGTATTTGCACGTAAGTAAATATAACGAACCCAACAAAGGAATTGGAACACAGCCGTTCGATTACCAATTCCGAGTCATTATCCACTACGCTACACAAACACACATGCAAAATTACAGCACCTGGTATTTGCCAAGCATATAGGTACTGACAAAGCTCGACGTTGCTTAACTTCGGTGATCTTACGAAAACCGGTGTTTCAACGTGATATGGCCGTAAGTCTATTTATTTTTTTAAAAAAATATGTAAATTTAAAAGAGAAACGAGAGAAATTTAGTGATAGAAACGTTCGTTGGGAATTGCTAAAGCGTTGAAATGTGATCACAGAACAATAGAAAAATACACGGGCAAGAAAAAGTAATCTTAAGCGAGATAAAAAATGTACTTTTCATAAAATATATCACAGTGTATATACAATTTACAAGGACCCTGAAGAAGAATTCTGGTCGGAAACACTCTAATTTTATATAAATTACATTACCAGAAACATCTCGCTATTAGATAAGCCCTGTTTATTAAAATCTCTTCTACTATCAATATTATCTTATTTAGCAGTAGAAATGGGGTGTAACTTTTTTTTTAATAGAAAGATGATTACGCGAATTCCTGCTGCGCTCATCATGCGAAGGCTCGGAATAAACGCTCCTATTCAAAACAACAAAAATGAAAAAGAACTTAAACAGTCAAAAGATGAGGAAAAACTAACATGAAAAACAAAACGCCCTTGAAAATGGCTAAAGAATGGCCGAAAGTGTTTTGGACAATGAAAATTATGGAATATGTCTTCACTCCTTTATTTCTACAAAACGGAAAAACGTAAGGTTGGTGAAAAATTAAATACAAAAATTAATTAAATCTTCCTTCTCCGCTGTATTTAATGAAAAGTATTTAAAAGAAAGGTTGCTGTTCAAATCTATCTATCTATCTATCTATCTATCTATCTATCTATCTATCTATCTATCTATATAACAAACAGAAAACTTTAAGTGTTCATGGGATTATATTTTTTTTCCCCTTAGTACCGGGATTTTTGTTCTAATTCATCAGATCTTCATTTTCATCCAAAAATATAGGTGACAAATTTTTCCAGGCTTAAAAACTTACACATTACTATTTTTAATATATGCACACATGTCTTTGATGAGGCAGTTTTAATTTGGTATAAGATGACAGACAGAGAGGGGGAGGAAGAAGATAGATATGTGATCGAAACTAGAGAGGGAAAGGAGAGATAGGAAGATGTTTATGTCTATCTATATATAAATATAACTGACCAGGCATGTTGACCTATTTATCAAGTCTTTTCACAGTTGTGTATGTATTTGTGTGAGTGCATTTGTGTGTGTTTACGTAGAGAGAGAGAGAGATGGAGAGAGAAAGATATAGACTACTGCTAATACTAAAAGAAAACCAATGGTGTTGATGTGACCAACAGGCAACTTACCAATCGACCCAACAGCTTAGACAAGGAAAAGTCCCGAATGAGAAAAAAAAGACCACAAGGCAAAAAAAAGTATCTACGCAGTAAAGTGCTCAACACCCAGAGAAAGCAAGGTCAGTAATTAAAGTTAAGCTGGATACGTTACTCTAGTTTCACGCTCTCGCCATCTTCAAATGACGATATTCAGTCACCCCCCTCCACGAGGGTGTCATGTGGCACAAGGCCTTTTTTACGTGGGCATTCCGAGCCCGTAGGCTCGGCCAAAAATATGCCCATTGAACCCGTTTATACGGGTTCAGGGCCGGTTTTACCTCCCCGAAGGAGACTCCGCCCTTCGGCGTAGCCTCCTTCGAGTTCCTCCCGTCCGTAGGAAGAGAGTACAACCGAACAGTCGGTAGTGAGCTACTGCCTGACATCTTCAAATGACTAGAACACAGTTGAACGGAGGGACCTAGCATTTTTATACCCGTAAGACACCTAAGATATTGCAACACGAAAGAACAATTGATACACCCCACCCTCCAAAAAAAAAACAAAAAAAAAAAAAAAAAAAAAAAACGTGGGTAATGCTCGCCCTTAAACGGAATAAAGAAAATAAGCAAAGAAAAAAAAACTTGAGTTGGGGGGAGGGCTTAACTAGCAATGTCGACTATTCTGATAGGCGGGAGGTAAAATGAAACAAAGAGGATAGACATTACTGAGATGGCACTGCATGTATTTTATTCTACGACTACATTTACTGTTTAATTATATAAAGTGTGTGTGGGGATGAATTCAGAAGATAACTACATGTACATATGGACTTTTGTACCATAAATGTTTTAGTAGGTTTCTTGTGAATAAAAGATATTGTGATATATGGCACGTGGCCGAGTGGTTAGGGACCCGGGTTTGAATCCCACTATGGTCGATTTGTCAGGAAGGAGACTCCCTGATGTTATCGGACTGGAGGGATCGATCCCAGCGGGCGGTACCTTTGGAAAGTGCCTGAAAACCATACCACGGGTTGACCCAAGCCTTTTAAGGGAAATTAGATAGACGGAAACCTTGGGGGTGCTCGCTAGCTGTGCTAGCACGAAGTCTCAAGTCATCGTGGCCGAGTGCTTGAACGTGCTGGCCTTGTTCAAATTGTTAACCACGCTGGATAACACGCTCTTTCCCAGAAACTGTAACTAAGGTCTGCTCAGCATAGTTGAGCAAAGACAAATGTGCCTGAGCGAGCGTCTGCAATAGGGATTGTCTAGCAGCCCTACGAGTTGCCAGCTATATATATGATATATGGCGGATTGAACGGTGATGGGTGAGTCCTTGTAATGATTGAGTAATTGTAATGGATGAATAGGTCGCGTGTCTGAT